CACCAAGACCATCCTCGGGTTAAACTTAGAACCATGGATTGTGAATGTGTCACAAGATTTGTTACTATGGCAACGTACAAAAAAGCAGTCCTTGGATAGCATGAATGCCACGTCACAGTGTTTCGATTGACAGCACCACTGAGAACATTCGTAAATGTTTTTAGCATTTCCATGATTTGTAAATAACCCAGCTTGTCGCCCTTGACGGAATGATATATTGTGGAATGGAGCACTATAAAGGCAACCTTATTGGTGCATGTCAGTTTGTAAGACCGTGTCGTGAGTCCAAGGTGTGTTATGCACACGGTTAGTTGTTACAGTTTTAATTTCTCCAACATCATGTGAACGGTCTTCTTTCTCGCTAGACGTCTGGTTAACATGACTGTTATCATTCTTCTCTATGGACATAAGACCGCTGTTTTCGATCGTTCTATCAACAAGCGTGTCTATGATTGTCAGGTTCACGTAAGAAATCACTGGTTCAAATTTATCTGCATTTCTTGCCTCCGTGACATCGCACAAATCGTCACCGTAACAATCAACAAGAAAACACCTATCCAGGACCATAAAAGTCAAGTCACAACCCACGGTTGAGCAGCAACGAGTCACGCAATCTTCCTTTGACGAAACTCGGCCGGCGAACGTAAAATTTCCTGCTTGAACACCTCCTTGTAAAGTGACATTATAGTAAGAGTAACTGGAGCAATTTTGGGACGCTGATTCTGCGGAAGACGAATCGAATGTAAAGCCTGTCTCGTACAGGCTAGAACCTGTTTCGTACTGGGCGGAGCTTGTGTCGAAAACGCTCCCGGTCTCTAACTCGGCACTACCACTCATTCCAGACCCCGCTCTTCCACTGTTCTCCGCAGTCTTCGTAACTAATTCAGAATTCTGGTGAGCGTATGGATCGAAGAACTTGCTGGTCTGTGATTGAGACTTGTAATAATCTGGTTCACCTTGAAGTGAACTGTCCCCACTGCCTAGAGCAACTTTGATTTTCAACGAGTGTTTGTGATAAACTGCTGATTCGTTAGTATTTGATCCTTTTCTCCCAACGTCGTTTTCCTTTTCTGAAGAACTTTCCAACTTCTCTTCGCTTTCTGTCAAGTAATTGTGGGAAGTAACCGAGACATGTGGCTTTGAGTTTGTTTTAGGAACCTTGTTACGCGCATCAACATGGCTCTTACCCGATATAAGTCTATCAGAATGCTCTAATGTCAAATTGGACTTTTGCCTTAAGGAGGACGGCCGACTTTCCGCGTTATCCACGTTCACAAGATGAACCCGGATTTTCTCGTTTTTCCATTTTTCGTCAGCACTTTTGTTGCTTTTGATTTCCACGAGGTCGAATTCGTTGCCTTTTGGCGTAGAGTGTTGTGCTCCAGTGAAGTTAATCTTTATCTTTTCGTCCTGCCATAGTTCTGGACCGTTTTCCACGTCAGAGTCTTGCAAAGGACTAGCGCTGTTGTGCTCTGTCTCGATATTGGTAGCCTGTGCAACAGTGGGCGTGACAACACTACCCTTCGTGAAGGCTTTGTGTGAGGACAAAGTGGGCATTGTACTTCTCCCAAGACTTGCCACGCGCTGAATACTATCAAAGCCAGATTTGTGTTTGTTGAAGCGTCTCAAAACAAAAACTGCCCTTGTGGAGTACTGGTGTTGATGATATGGGACACTACGGCACACTGATTCAGTCGTACAATTAACCATATAGCATGACTGGTCTAACATGAAAGCTATATCACAGTCTGGCTCGTGGCAACACACGTCAAGACACTTTTCTATTTCAAACAATTCTCCAATATACGAAAATTTACCC